GGTTTGAAATCTTCTGCCCCCATGTGCTCCAAGATGGAGACTCTCATAGTTTAGAGTTAGGACCGCACTATAAGAGGTGCCTTGGCGTGGCTGTGCGGCTTTCACATTTTCTGCAGAAGACGTGTATCCAAACCTCTGTTATTAACCTTAGTGGTGAGACAAGTTTTTTTACATGCTGACTTGTGAGTGTGCCATGATGCCTTTCTACTGTCTACTGTTTTAAGCCCATTTCGTGTGCACCTTACTGTATAGTTGGTGACAAATTGTTGAGTGCGTTTGTCATTTGTTTTGCTTTTTTATTATATAATAAAGCTTTTTGTGTTGATACAAGGGAAATTACTCCTTTCCTAAGCCGAATCCTTAATGCTTAAACACTCATCAGTGTACACAGAAGCATACGTAAATATTTATGGTAAGAAGACTTCCAATTCACATAGGGCTCGATTCACTATAGGAGGAGAGAATGTTCACAATGAAGTTGTTTTCCCTTTAAATACCCAATCAGTGCAGAGGAAATAAAAAAGCAGCCTTGCTCATGATTGGATAATTGAAGTAAGAACAACTTTACTTTATTCACTTTGCTAAAGGACCATCCTCTACTCTTTTAGTAAATCAACCCTACAATGTCACTGCAGCATAGTGCCTAGGCACAGTCATGTGGTTGCCATAGATGTAGGGTGTGTTACTGTATTGTATAGAAACCAGTCTGATATTGTCTTTGCCAGTTCACTGCAGGCTGGGTTCACACCTAGGAGTATCGAATATGCGCGTTTTGCGGTTAAAAAAACGACAAACCCGCGTTTCCGAGCGCTACTTGGCTGTATCCCAATGGAAACGCGCGACAAAAACGCCCCAAAGAAGCTCCAGTACTTCTTTGGGCGTAGGGCGTTTTGTAGCGCGTTCATACGGCCTGTAATACGCCCAGGTGGGAACCATACCCATAGGAAATAATGGGATTTCGGTGTTTGAGCGTTTTGCAGAGCATTCGAACGCGCTACAAAGCGCCCATGTGTGAACCAGGCCTAAGGGTAATGTAAGTGGGTCTCTAACTGGGATCTGCACACTCCTTAGGGAGGGATTAGCAAGCAAACAACATGTAGAAATGTTAACAAGACCAGCAAATATGTGCTCAGCTACCCAATCTAGATAAGGGGACAATATGATTTATCATTAATATGTAGGACCTAAATAAGGGTCCAGTGAGCTATGGTAAAACCTACAGACATTAATAAACAATAATATATTACATACTTTTGCTTTGCTGCTGAATATTGCTAGGACCCAAGTTAGAGAACAAGGTGAATTAATAAAGGAATAAAGAGTTTCCAAATTCCAAAGTAAATGTTCACTTAGCTTAGTAAATAGGGGGTGAATAAGGAATAACCTGTGTTATCAGTGGGGAGAAAATGTAACATTCTTCTTGAACAGTAATCAGTGGTTTTGGCAATATCTGGACATGCTTGCACCATTGGGCTGATTCACTAAAGTGGTTGAGAAGGTTAAATGCAATGAAGGGAATTTACTAAGGCTGGTGCAGACAGAATCTGGATCAGTTGTCCATGACAATAAACCAGTTTCTATCTTTCATTTTTAAAAGGTTAACTTAAGGAACTGAAGAGAGAAGCTGGTTGGTTATTATGGGCAACTACACTAGATTTTATCTGGTCAAGTTTTTATACATTTCCCACAATGAGGGGAATTTACTAAGATTGAAGAAATCATCCAATCATGTGGGAAGCAAATTCCACTTTACTTATCTCCTCTGCATATTATTGGATAATTAAAGGGAATATTAACACCATTCAGGGGAATTTACTAACACTGGAGCAGACACAATCTGGACCAGCTGTGCATGGCTGCCAATCAGCTTTCAGCTATAATTTTCAAAGCTTAACTGAACACGCTGAGGATAGAAGCTGATTGGTTACTATGCACAGCTCATCTAGATTATGTCTGCTCCAGTTTTAGCAAATTCCCCTAAATGAATTGGGTGAATATTCACTTTAATTATCCAATCATGTGCAGATGAAATAAGTAAAGAGGAATTTGATTCTCACATGATTGCATAAGTAAAGTGAATCTTCACTCTATTTTTTGGGAGAACATTCTCAAGTCCTTTAGTATATCAGCCTCAATTTGTGGGGTAAATAATCTCAACTCCTTTAGTAAATAATCCTCAATATGTACTGTGATATTTCCTGCAGGCCAGTTGTTTGTTTTTTTAGTCTCCATGTGCAAACAACATGAATCAGATAAACAGTAAATAGTAATAAATCTCCGACTGACCTGCTAAAGACACCCTGCTGAGCTTTAAAGCAATGCAAAGTACAGATGTGTTATACATACCTCTTATAAAGTGGGGAGGTGCAGAGAGCTGCTTGTCATTCTCTGTCTTATCTGACTAGGAGGACTAACAGACACCTCGTCAGGGTAATGCAGGGGATGCCTGAGTCAATTAAGCTTCTACATGATTACCAAGTGGAACCGGTTACATATTACAAGGACAGAATAATAGAGCCCACTTTAGGGGGCGTGTCCAGACTCCCACACCTCCTATTACTACTGGGCTCGGGCCTCCTGGTCATGACGAGCTTTCACTCCTTTCAGTCTACACTGCTTTAGTTTATCGAAGTGTACTTTGTGTTAGTTTTATTTTTTTTATATTCGCACTTCGCCACCATCTGGTTATATTTGCACATGACTTTCGTACACATTTAATTATCAGAGATCAAAAAAGACTTCTGTTATAACACAGTGGTGTATTCAGAACAGTAATATATACAGTCTAAAAATAAATAATAACAATAAATACAATAAATATATATAAAAACATATGTATATATA